AAGATTTGAGATTTATTTTGGTATTGATTATATATACAGTAACTTATCTTAAAGAATAATTTTCTATAGTAACAGATCTTATATGCCACAAGAGTTAGATTTTCTTACTATTTCTTAAAATAAAATTCTCTGTCAAATTATATGAAGTTTAGTAGTCGTAGCGAGGTTAATTTTAATAAAACATTTTTACCAAAATAACCATACACACTGTCACACTGTTTATTTGATCTCTGTCTATATTGAATTTTAAATTGTTATTTAAGCAACGGGAAATTATACAGTAATAATAATAATTATAATATCAATGTATTTTATATAAAAATTATTATTAAAAAGGTAATACGTTTCTTAAATGTTTCCAAAATGTTGTAACTTATATAAAACAAATTTACACTATATTACTAATAATTTTGGCATGAAGTGCCAATATGACCCGGATTATTTTATATAAATTATTCTTATTTAATATATGGTTATGTTTTAACAATACTCTTGTATATTTATGCATTCAAATATTTTGATGTGTGAGATAAATGTGTAATGTTTTCAAAATGAATGACTAATTCAAAAATTGCAATTAACTTTACTAGTTAAACTTGTAATCTTCAGTATAGCTATAGTCATTCAATATTAGTCAAACTTTAAGAATATTGTCGTTAAAATATACCAAAAAATAAATAAGAATAACTTATATAAAATAAACCGGGTCCTATTGGCATGGAAAAATTATTAGTAATATAGTGTAGATTTGTTTTATATTAGTTACAAAATTTTGGAAATATTTAAGAAACGTATTAAGAAAAGTTAATTGAACAAAATAAGTTTTACTTTTCTATATATTTTACTGAATAAATTATTAAATAAATCTTAAATTTAATACAAATAATTTAATTAAAATTCTTGTAGCACATGAGTATCTCAATTATTATTCTCATGTTCAGATAAAGGCAATTATTTATATATTCATTTACTTTACTATTACTGTAACTAATCCGATCACTTGATTTAAAATTCTCTACAATTGTATAAAAGTACAGTAATTATAGCATATTTCACACAATTCTTCTAAACATTAAATTCTTAGTCAGAATCGATTAAATGTTCACTTATTCTTACAACTTATTGTTTTTGTTATCGTAGCAGTTGTAGAGATTTGATAAATTTGTAGTTAAAGCAAAATTGTCAAAATTACTAAAGTGACCAATGTAGTGTACTGTGCTGCACAGTAATACAGAAACTAACTTGCACAATTTATTTGCATAGCATTCGCTGTGGCGACGGCCGCCTCAAGCAATCCTCCCGAGCCTATGGATCACACGAAGCAATCATTACCGCAATCTCGAGCCAACAGTCGCCTTCCCAGTGCTGTCGGCACTGACCTTAAGATTCCGAACGCAAACCGAGTGAAGAGAGAGTCGATGATAAGTACGGCCGCAACGATGCGGGTCCTCAATGTGTTGAGACATTGGGTGAGCAAACACTCCCAGGACTTTGAAAACGATCCAAAGTTACTGCAATTGGCGACTGAATTCTTGGAAGAGTTGGTTCACAACACAAACCTACTTCCGGCCGAACACAAGGCAGCCGTTCAGCTCTTGGGGATGATCTCGAAACAGGCGCTCGAATACAGAGATAAAATCGATTTGGATGTCCTCTTGTCTCCGCCACTAAACCCTTCCAAAGATAATATCGAATCGTTGTCTGCGCTCGAGATCGCAGAAGTGATGACTTATTTGGACCACAAAATATTTGTTAGAATACAAAGCGAGGAGTTCTTAGGCCAGGCCTGGATGAAGGATAATAAGGTATGTCCTCGTGTTATGTCACTAACGGTGAACAAGTCTAATGAATGACGTGTTGAACAGACAACCAAAGCGTTTCATATATTACTGATGACCCGACACTTCAATGACATCAGTCGGTTAGTGGCCTCAGAGATCATGAGAGTCCCGGAAATCCCCAAAAGGGTGGCCATCATTGAGAAGTGGGCGGCCGTTGCAGACATTTGTCGGTGTCTTCATAACTTCAATGGAGTCCTCCAAATATGCGCCGCTTTTACCAACTCATCGGTGTTTCGCCTAAAGAGGACGTGGGAGAAGGTCTGCAAAACGGTAGGCGCTTTCAACTGATTATTTGCCAAAATAATAGCCATTTATTATATAAATTGTTAATTGTTTGGCAGACAAAGCAAACTATAGACAAATTACAAACATTGGTCTCAACTGACGGTCGGTTCAGAAACATGAGGGAAGCGCTGCACAGATGTGATCCGCCGTGTATTCCCTATTTGGGCATGTATTTGACTGACCTGTCCTTCATAGAAGAGGGAACTCCTAATTTCACAGATGAAGGACTTCTCAATTTCTCGAAGATGCGAATGGTATGACTTGTCATTTGTTTGTCACTTTCAATACTATAGGAGTGTCTTATAATGAAATGATTGTCTGTCCCACAGATCGCTCACGTAATCCGAGAGATCCGTCACTTCCAGCAAACGCCGTATAAAATAGAGCACAACCCGAAAGTAACCAATTATTTGTTGGACACATCTCGACATCTTCCTGACGAAGAACTCTATCAGTTGTCACTATGTCTGGAGCCCAGACTGTCGCGGTTGGGCACCAAAATCACCACAACTGGAGGCAGTTCTGGCTCATCATTTGGCGGCAGTTCTCCATCACATTACTCTTCTGCCACCTAAAGCCTCATTCAATCACTTTTTTGATCAATTCTTTGTGTAAGACTTTTGAAAGACTTTCAATGTTTTGGAACCAATTTATTAATATTTATCTGAATAGAGAAAACATAAAAAGTCTGCCAATTTCATAATTGGTATAATTATGGGAATCAGTTATGATATATTTAATAGTAATCTATTGTTTGTTGATCTCATTTACGAAACTTATGCACATATTTATTGTAATAATAGATTTTAATTCAATTAGTTTTTAGAGATTTAGAAAACGAGTTATGATTTTGTATTCAACCATACGATTCTTTAAAATAGATACAGGTATATAAATGTTATATTCAAATCTGAATCAAAATTATAAAGTTTTAGTTAATTTGTTTTGATAAATGACTAAAACATTGATTCAATGAAACAAAGCTAACGAAGCCCTTCGAAGTGCAGCCGAATAAACGATAATATAATTATGTAATTGTTATTTAGATTTAACTCAATGTTAACCCAGGGTTGGGATCATATAAACGGGACTGTATTTGTATCACATGTATTCACATTTTAATGTGTTTTTTCATTCAATTGTAATTCTTCACATTCATTGACTACATATTCTCATATTTATGCAGATTTTTACTTATTCTCTCGTTTAGTGTTCATATGATTCAAGCAATTAGTGTTTAGTTTTGAAATAATTTTAAATACAGTATTTGATTATACAGTACATGAATTGAGTTTTTTAATAAGTATCAAAAAAGTTGTAAATTGTATACATAAGAAATCTTATATAAGTCTTATAAATATATAAATACTACTATACATACAGTACAGTTCAACTCAAACAGTTAATATCAAATCTTATACTCGAAGTCTTCCTCTTCACTACTTGTATATGAATTCCCTTTTTCTATATATTGTGTAACAATTCTGGTGTCATGTATGTACTTCTAGTTACATAAAAGCACCTACAGTTACAAATCTGACAGAAGTTATATCAAAACAAACTGATTGTACAGACATTTGGATTATCTCATTATTCGGGCAATAGATGCTAAACACCTGTTCCCTCCATCCCGTCTCTCGCTCTCCAATCACTCAAACCATTCATTTATTTTTATATTATATTACATCCCATTCCCCAACAAATGCTTTACTATTAATAACTGCGGCATAGCTTTCACTCAGCCCTCACTCGACTCATTGATTGATTGATTGATGGATTGATTGTCTTTTAAAGCCTTATCACAAATCTAGTCCTAATCCTAATCCTAATCCTATCTCACATTTTGTTACATTTCTTCCAAAATGAATTTCTTTGGAAATAAAATATCGAAGAAATGGCTCTCAAAAAGCAAATCAAATGGATATCAATTTCTCAATGAATTCATTTGACTTTGATTTTCATTTTTATTATTGAATATATTTTTAATGATTAGAAAAGTGAGAGACAATAAAATTAGTGGAATTATAGTATTTCATTTAAATGTATAAAAATTTATTTAAATGTCACTTTACTTAAAAGATATATTAGATATTGTATTTAATCCCTGTTTTGGGGTAATTTACGGTAAATTTATTGTTAAATTGAAAATCGTATTCATCACCAAATTCTTGATGCCTGTGATCGCCTCAATAGTTATCATTAACTTATTATTAGATATATTATTATTATCGACAAAAAGAGGTATTTTAACAAAAATGACAAACAATTGCATAAATTTATCACAAATTAAATTATTTCAAACAAATTGTAATCAATTAATATCTGATCCTATTTTTGTGTTACTTCTATACAATTGTTAAATGTTTAAC